ATGCACTTAAAAAAAAGCGGTAGCTGCAATTATCGTTCATTTTCACCGTACGATACCGATTTTGAGACCGATATAGAAAGAATGAGTTGCAAATCGTCTACCGCGACGCATAATTATCATCATAATCATTATCCTTCATTAATAGGAACAAGAGAGAGAGAGGAGAGAAGGAGCAATAAAAAAGCGGCACAGCCCATTTATCAAAGAGAAATTGTTACTGTTGCAATTTTTGACATCATCCCATCATCATTTTTCTGTCATGCCAACGACAGTTCACTCGTTCTCAGCACGATCGAACACACACACAAATAGCAAGAAGAGAGAAAAAACTCAGCGACGGTGCAAAGTTTATGCTGATGAATTGAAATCAAGTTAGAATTTTCCTTCGGTGGGTTTTTATTTCGTTTAACATATTGCACTCTCAATTTTGCCACTAATTATGCCCTCGGGTTGCGTCACACAAGTAAAGACGACAACAACAACAACGACGACGACTGAGGAAGCAAGGCCCAAAATGAAATAATTTCATCGAGTGTCGAAACCCTATCGAAAAACTACGCTTTCAATTACACAACCACTCTCTTTTTTTCGTCTCCTGGTTCTCTCGAGTCAATAGTTTCGGGGTTGTGTCGTTGAAAAATCAAATTCGACCACATTCAGTTGATTTGCAATCGTTCTGCATTTTCACATTGAAATCGATTTTATTTTTCCGATGCGACTCTTTTGGGCTGGCACATAACCATACACACACACATTATACATAGAGAATCGTAGTCTATGTACTGCCACTCTATGGACAGACATGTATAAACTGAACATTTTCAGAAAATTGATTTGCATAAATGTCAATGGGGTCAAAAATAATAGTCATAATTTATACGAACACATTTGTGTAAATGAAAATTTCCATAAATTGAGTTGAATGTTGATTTTACGTTTGTGTATGCAAGTAATTGGATTTTATCGATCAGCCGACAAGATTTTCATAACATAAAATCCATATAATAGCATTTCAGACACAAATCCAAATGTTTAAACTGATTGAAAATTACCTTGATGAACTTTGTTTGAAATTCAATTTCTGTGTTTTGTTCATCATCGTTCGCTGGACCGAACAGCGAATAAAATCGAATTTTATCGATTCGAAATGAAAAATTGCACGCATTGTCCATTTGTCAGCGAAATTTCAACAAACAAAAAAGAAAAAAAAGAGAAAAGAGATTATTCGGTTCTTCAAGTCAAATACACATGACGGCACGCACCTTCTTCTTCATTCAAATCCACATTTACGTATTTGTGTGTATGTATTCCATCAATTGCCGTTCCATCATTTCTTTTATTCTTCTTCTTTTTATTTTCAACAACATTTTTTTTGCGTGTATTGTAAAATGTTTTTCACCTCGTCGTGCGCGCTCAATAGCGCATACAACTGATTTTTTTGCCTCTTTTCGTTCTTTATGTAATTGAAGACAAGCGCGAATCATGTCAAAGTACTTGAAACACTTATTGATTTTTTTCTCTTTGCTGCTGCTGTCGCTGCCTTCTCTCTCTCTCTTGTTCAGTTTGTTCTTGAAATTTTCTCTTTATGTGTGTACATGAATTTCTTTTGTTATTACTCTCATTTCGATCGTTTTTTTTATATTCATTGCTGCCTTCAACTTCTGCTCCTCTAGCTCGTTGGCTCTTTCTATTGTTGTTTGATGATTTGGTTTGGCTTTATTTTGGTGCTTTTTTACATTTTATACTCTAGGTGAGTTGTGTTATGCGAATATATGGTGCTCGACAAATGGTTTCTTGCTGATTGAATCGGATTGGTGTCGATGTGTATGCGTGTGCATGTTTGTGTATATTTCCGGCAATATTGATTGCAAGCAAATCAGATTTTTGTCGATTCAATGAATGTCAGCCAAATCTACATGTATATATGATGCGGTGTTTCTCTCTCTCTCTCTCTCTCTTCATGCTCATTGTGAAAGTTAACACGTGGAATTTTCAATGGAAATTCAATTCGATTTTTTTACAGTCGTTTTTCTTGTTCATTTGAATCGTCGTCATGAATATCGATTTTTTTCTAAGCTAAGAACGATACATTTTGCGTATTTTTTTCGCTTGCATATACATAAATAGAATCATTTTACTTTCCAACAAGTTTTTTTCTGGTCACAAAGTCATATTTGTATTTATTTCGCTTTCTCGCCGATTTTTCGCTTCATTGTGAAAGTTTGTTTGTTTTAACCGTATTTTGGAGTTTATTGTACTCTGATATCCATTTGCCAAACAAAAAGAGAAAAAAAACACACACACACTTGCTGAATTGCAATGGAAAGTGAGAATTTGACAAATAAAAATAAAATAAAAAATTTGGCCATAGAAAACTGATTGGTCTTAAAGAAAGTAATAACTGATTTTGACGAGAATGAAAATGATATTTATCCGAAGCAAATGAGATTTGTTTGTTTTTCAATTTAAAATAAAAGAAAACAAAAAAAAACGATGCCGCATTGACCGAAAAAAAGAACCTCTTGAAACGAAGCCACAATTGCACAAATATACAGTCATTGCACGACAAATATATTTGACGTAGAATGAAACTGTGTAACATTTTGATTGTTTCCCTTTCGAATATAAATACGAAAAATATGATGCTAATGGAAACCTAAAGGAATTTACCGACTATATAATTTCACCCTATGTTTATCGAAACATTTTCCTTGTCTGTGCGACTCAAATGTGTGCTGTTCATTCAAACTGGAATTATTGCACACTATCTTTCTTCCCTCTTGTCATAAAAAAATGCAATCTCCCTCTCTTGCCGCATAAAAACTATCATCGGAATCTATCTCAAAAATATAGAGTAAATATTTTTGAAGGAGAGACTAAGAAATCGACATTTCAAATTTGTTGCGCAATTCCAAGCGCAAAAACTATGAAAAAGCAGATTTTAAACAATATATACAGCACACTGGAGAACATTTTTATTTTTGGCCATACATAGCAAGCCTGTAACGAAATCAGAGCTCGAGAATTTAGGTGAGAACTACAAACGAACAAATCTTTTTTTCTCTCGTCGTGTGTCGCATTCACAAACCAAAAAAAACGTACTACACTTATATTTTTCTCTTTTGGCTAGAGACAACTATAAAAATTGTGCGACAAAAAAATGTGCTTATTTATTTTGTTGCTGGCGTTTACGCCAACTTTTTTTTCTTGCCGAGAGATTCCGTTTAAGATTCCTTTAAGTCTCTTTCTCTGCGTTTTTTAAAACTTAGTTTCTTTCTTTTTCTCTTTTTTTAACTCTATATAACAACAACAAAAAATTATTCGATATTTTTTCCCCTTTGGTTGACATTTTTGGACGGATTTTGAAACGGCAAGGATACTAGAAGCCAGTCAAACCACCGATAAATTCATCGTAAAAATTTAATAATTTTTCTTTCAGTTGCGCGCTTTCGCCCAACCAAAACTCCAACAAGAAGAACAGCGCACATATAATCATAGCAAAAATCTTTTAGCACGGTTTGAATTATGCCGTACTGATTCTATTTCCACGGTATGAGAGCTGTGCATAAAAAATTGGTACCGAACCGAATGAGACATGCGCATTTATTTTACAACTCTCTCTCATTCGTATCTTTTTTTCCATTCGTTCGAATATCCGATGCTATATATATACACAAACGCTGAGTGTGTACATCGTCATCATCATAGATGTACTGAAGTTCAACATTGCTTTTGGTATGACATGAAGAGCCAATATTACATATAGCATTTTTCAGTTGGAGAATTCGCTGTAAAACCGATAAGCTGTGTGTAAGCCAGCATTGTAGCATTGGATTGATGTGGCAACAACGCATATTCATGGGGAATTTACTCCGCCTTTCGTATATATGAACATGCGTCCCGTATGCCGGTGGTGATTGGCTGCATAGACCTTTAAGCAGGCGTCACTGGGTCTTCCATGCAAAACACCAAGTTATTTATGTTTCATTCGGCTCTGAACACTCACACACATACCATATAGCAACGAACGAACGAACGTAAGTAAGAACTAGAACCGTTGAGTGAGAGATGTACACTCACACACAGACGCAAATGCCAATGAGATGAGAAAAAAAAAACTCGACTCAGTACGTGACACAAATACAAACGAAACGACGACGATTTCCACTCATGTCTATCGTATGCATTGGATGAATGCCGAACAGCCGAACAGCAAATGACGAAAAGTGGGGACGACAAATTGTTATTTGTCGACCGTTCATTACACATTCAGTGCCCATGCGTTGAAGCAAGAGAACAACATCGTTCAACGTTGAATGTATGTATGTATGTATTTGAAAACGGTTTTTTTTTCTGTGTATTATGCCAAACGAAGGCACCTAAAACAGGTTTGATTGGAAACGGTTACGATCGAAAAACAGAAAGGTGCTCACTGCGAAACGTTCTTGTTGTTTGTTCATAACGCGAGTATCTCTCGACCAGTGAGCGCACACATTTTCGTTTGTTCCGTTCGATATCTCGACCAAACTTAACTTAAACAATTCTCTCATTCTCTCGTTAACCAGAAAAAAAAGAGACGAAAGAAAGTTTTTATCTTTTTCAAATTAAAAGTACATTTTCGATTTTTGTGAAAGTGTTTTAATGATAATAAAAAAACAAAAACAACAAGTTACACGTTATCAAGAATTTATTTACGAAAAATAAAAAAATTACAAAAAAGCGTGTTTCTAACACTTAGAGGAAAAAAACCAACAAGCCGACGACTGTGTCACACAAGTGTTAGTGAAATCAATTCCTCGAAAGATGAACATGAACTAATTAGTTTCGTCGAACCCAATAACATGTTGTTTGGTGTAAAGTCCAAAGATTAAGCCGGCGAAATCGAAATAGACAGTAAAGTGATACAGAAAAAAAACATAAATAAAAAAGGCAAAACGAAAAAAAAAAATCGAGAAAAAAGTTGAAGACGGGAGCAAAGTTTTCGTTTTGTTTTAATTTTCTAATTTTGTGAACGGTGTTTTTCACAAAAATTTTGTCAAGCTGTTCGCGCATAGGGAAGTAGACGATATGTTGACGATGGAGTCTGATATGAAAGGTGGCATACTGCATGCGACAATGCCACCCCATCATCCGTCATCATTGCATTCACCGTCGCCGTACAGTTCATTAGGATCGCTGAGCATGATGAACATCGGCCAATCTCAATTATCACAATCACAACTAACGCATCAATATCAACACAATACAACTAGTTCAAATATGTTAAATCTTGCCACACAACATCATTCACAAGCCCATAATACCCATACATCACCGTTGCATCATTCAGGTCTATCGCCAGTCAGTTCAAGCCAACAACAACAGCAACAACAAACACAGCAACAAACACAACAACAAACAAACACCGCGCTAGGTGGACATCATATTTCATCATCACAATCACATCCACATGGCCTTACATCAAACAATAACAATAATACAAGCAACAAAAATCATAATGTTGAACGTGTGAAACGGCCGATGAACGCATTTATGGTATGGTCACGTGGCCAACGTCGCAAAATGGCATCAGACAATCCAAAAATGCACAATTCCGAAATATCAAAACGCTTAGGCGCCCAATGGAAAGACTTATCGGAAAGTGAGAAACGTCCATTCATCGATGAAGCAAAACGTTTACGTGCCGTACATATGAAAGATCATCCCGATTATAAATACCGGCCACGTCGTAAGACAAAGACTCTAACAAAGAGCAAAGACAAGTATCCACTTGGTGTTGGTTCATTATTACAATCGTCCGATCCAAATGGAATTCGTAATACAAATTCAATATCGGCCGCTGCTGCTGCTCAACAAGCCAATCGCGATATGTATCAAATACCACCAAATGGTTATATGCCAAACGGTTACATGATGCACGATCCATCAACGTATCAAAATCAACATGCATACATGAGCAATTATCATGGTTACGATATGAGCCGAATGCATGGCGCAACAGCCGGCTCATTAAATTCATATATGAATGCAACTGGTTATGGAATGTATGGCACTGTATCTGGCGGACAAACATCACCGTATGGAAGTGTTGGACAACAGCCCAGTTCACCGTATGGTCAACAACAGCAACCAGCCTCACCTTATGGCGGTATTCAACAACCAGGTTCACAATTATCGTGCCAAAGTCACAGTCCAAGTGATTCTAGTGTTAAATCGGAACCAGTATCGCCGAGTCCAATGCACGATATGCGTAATAATTCAGCGGCCGCGGCCGCTGCTGCCGTTGTCACAAATAATAATCTCATGAAACGCGAGTACCAACATTCGGGCATCGGTACTGGCGGTGATGGCATCAATAATATTATCAATATGTATCAATTACCTGAATCAATGCAAACAACTGAACATCATCGAAATTTAATGCACTACCAAAATAATTTATCGCCTTCCGATTTGCATCAAAATCAATTACGGCAAATGGCACCGTTGCCAAACATGTGAGATTCAAGCAATGATCGCAGTTTTCAACCGCAGTCATCGATTTATGAAAATAATTTAATTTGGTAGAATGAAACAAAAAAAAAATTTAACAATTTGAAATGAAAATTTACATTGTAGGTATATTATGAGAGAAAGTAAATAAATTGTGAAATGATTTCAAAGTAAAAGAAAAAAAATGAAAGCACACAATGCGACACAGATAAATCAGTGAGTAAAAAAATATGAATGCGAGAATATATTTAGTTTAAAAATTGAAAATATTCAAGAAAACAAACGATTCTCTTATTCGATTCTATAATTCATGCGAACCGATATCAAGTATGCAATAACTACTTTTTATTTTGTTTTTTTTTTATATAAATATTTTTTTTTATTTCATGAAAAGTCCTTCAAACTCATTTGACACGTAAATTCACTTCTTTTTTTGATGTAAATTTGACACTTGTCTTTAATTATTTGAATTATTATTGTGTACATCGGTCGCTTTTATTACTTTTTTTGCTGTTCTTAGGCACATACACACACACACACAAACACAACTTGTATACAAACAAAAAAAAGATGCGTTATTAATTAAGAATTGTATAGAGCAAAACAAAAATGGCATGAACCTAATTTATCTATAAGGACTTAAAAGAAGTAACAATTTAATTAAGACGAGAGACAAAATTCTATGAATTCGATTTATGATGATGAAACGATTTAAAGAAACTAATTTTTGTGTGTATGTGTGTGTGGTATATCGAAAAAATACATAAGAAAAAAAAACAAACAAGAAAATCATTATAGAAAACACTCATTTATAGAAATCGTAAGGACATGTATAGTATAAAGATCATGAAAAAGGATTTAAACATTCCGACAAAAAAATAAATAAAGATTTAAACAAAGCAACATTTACTAACAAAATGCAGCATTTTTAATTCCAAACAAACAAACAAAAACATTTGCCGACAAATCATCATAAACACATAACGTTTTTTTTTTTTGAAGAGAGAACATTTCTAACAAACATAAAGGTGTCGTTTTAGTTTAATCTTATCCATCACTAATTTGCTTTTTAATGTCGAAATACAAAACACACAAATTTTCAATTACAAATTGAATTTTGATGCGAATAACTCTAGACACACAGTTTACTTCATTTTCTCATCTAGAAGATGTTCATGCATGAATATGTACAAAATCATTTAAACAAAAAGAGTAAAACTAAACAAAATGAGAAACAATGGCAAAATGATTTATTAAGGAAGAAAAATCAAATCGATCTATTATTATTATTATTAATTATTATGATCCTAATTATTATTATTATTAAAACAAAAACTTATTGATTAAATTACGGATTATGGACTATATTGATTAAAAAAAAAGCAAGAAAGAAACAAGCCACTGAGACACAGAATTACACACAAAAACTACCAACAAAAACTGAGGATAATAAATTTATTTAATAATAAATACTCTTGAAAAAAACAACCACTCGATTTTTGTTCTGAAAAGTGTTTTTATTTTGAAATTTTTTAGCGTGAATTGTTCTTTTTTTCAGTGTTTGTGATAAGCGTGACAAATGGCCGTCGGGGTATATGGTCGAAGTGTAATCTGCACCAAGTATCAAAATGACATTTTTATGTTTTTTTCTGGGATTTAGTACGTCATGAGGAGACGTTTTTTTCATTCTTTTTTTGAGGAAAAAATCAAACGATCACTTACAACGAATTCAATCGAGAGAAGAACCTACATTGGAAGAACATACAGACTGTGTAGATGCAATGGATTCAATGTTTATGACTTGTACGTACAATTTAAAATAGCAATTGTGAAGCATTTTCGTCAATTAGCACTGAAAAACTTCGACAAAATCGTCTATGTTTATGCTTGTTAAATGCCTGAAATTCTGCGAAAGACAACACTTAAACTCCCATCGATGCAGCAAATGCACACACAGAGGCTGTATACATTATTGCTGTGCGTATAACTCTTGCCGTTGCTCACTCTAAGTGTGGTAATATTTATGATCTTGCTGTGTTACTGCTTTTTCATTTTCTCTCATTCTCAGTCTCCCTTTTCTCTAGCTATCTATCGCTTACTAACAATATCTCTCTTTCTTTTCATCCTGATAACACTCTGCCACACTATCTCTGTTCCGAGGAGTGTAGGTGTGTGTGTGTGTGTGTGTGTGTAAGTGCAAGTTTCTTGACGCAGTATGCAAATGACCAAAACAAAACGAATTGACCATGGCTCTTGATAAGTATTTGCATTTGGCACGTATTGGCAATATCTTCGGTCTTCGCTTCGATAAAACTCCCTCGTTCGTCAAGTTTTATGCTTAGTTTCACAGCAGTTGCCAACAAATTCGAAGAAACAACACATTTAAAGCAGCAAGAAAAAGAAAGAAAATATGAGAATTTATTTGTGGCAATATAATTTGTTGGTTTATGACCAAGCAAAACAGCACATGCACTAATCCATAGCACACACACACACACACGCCCTCGAACACACACTGTTTGACATTTTTCTCGGGCCATTCTGCATAAAAACACATTTTCAGTATTCATCCGAAGATATCAATGACAACTTCGTTTTGGAACCCGACCAAATTTAAAGTATTCGGAAATGCGATTAAAATGGAGAAAAATCATTTTAGATCGTTTTCTTTTTTCTAATAACATAAAACATTATTTCATTTTTCTGTAGATAAACGATGGCAAGAGGAAGAACAAAATGTGTGTGTGTGTATATATTTATCAACGCAAATAACTGTTAAAAATTAATGGACGGTTAAGCAAAAGCCTATACTGCAATGGATATTGCCATAAAAATCGCTTGTAAATAATTTATTCGTCCATTTATTTTGGCAATAAAATCATATATATTGAATGTGTAATAAAACGACACACATCAAAATAAAAAACATTACGTGTCGTCTTTTTTTCGGACCATGTCATAAAATTGAGCCGAACTATCATCATTCACACCTTAAAAACTAGTAAATAGTAGCTGCCGCGTATCAATTCAGATCGTGATGGGAGAGGAGAGAATGAGAAAAATTGATTAGCTTCGCAGTGAGCTAACCCGATGATTTTAATATGAAAGTTAAGAGCATCATCAAATATCGCTGATTGTAAATTTATTCCAACCGAATATCCAATAAAATTTCGTGTGCGAGTGTCGATTGTAAAGGAGAAATTCTCGCGGATATAGAAAGGTTCGAAAATATGCATATACACACATATACTGACACTTCAAAATTTACAAACTGACAATATGTGAAACAGGCGTCATGTGTTAACGGTAGACTTTGAAAAGCACAATTGTGCTCAAAATACAGCAAACGAAACCGAGAGAGAGAGAGAGAGAGAGAGAGAGAGAGAGAGAGAGCGAAAGAAAGAGAAACAACAGTCAAACAGCGCGAAAAACATTCATTTGAATTTGAATGCCGCGTAAAATTTTGTTCTAATTTGATCAAATGAGTTGTTCATATTAGTAAGCTATACTATGTTTGTTTATCGCTATCATCATCCATATAGATCTCTATCTTCATTCGGCTGTCGAGAAAAAAAACAGTTTCCAAACAAAACACTTTCTGATCGCACGACAAAAAACATCTTGAAATGCGAACATAAATTTTAATGCGCGATAAATGCTGTCGAAATCATGCACACCGATATATCATCGAGCGCTAACTGGTTCGTTTGCGACATTTTGCGCCTCTATGGTGCCATAAACTTTGAAAAAAAAAATTAATTTTTATTTTAATTCTCTAACATAATCGATCGATTATTTATGAATGCGTATCAAAATCGTGTCTGAAATAATCGCTCTTTTTTTTTCTTCATTTCAAAAGATTCTTGATTCAATCATCATATTTTATCGGCGCAAAATCCAGTTTTCGAAAATAAAAGAAGAAAAAAAAGCGTTGATGCTCGAACTCTTTGACATTGTATAGGGCCGATGGATAATACTATACACCGCTGGATAGATACAGTGCCATAAAATGTGCAAGCTTAAATCAAATTGCAAATCATAATCGTAAAATCACTTAATTAGATAAAGCACATTTTTTTCTTCTAAACGAAGATGAATTTTTATTGCAATCGGATTAAAGATACACACCCATACCCGAGCCAAGCGTACATAGATTTTTTTTATGGTTTTTTCAACCCAGTCTTTTGACGTGTTTATCGTGTAAAAATGATGCATTCACCAATTAAACGTCAAAATACGCATTAAAAACCATTTTATTGAAGAAAAAAACAGTCGTAGACTCGTAGTGGATAAAAAAAACTGTGTGTGTTGGCAACATAATCAATTGCAACTTCTAACTTTCCAATTGAATGCAATCAAGCGTCATTGGCAGCAGCAAACAATCTGCGAAACGCAAAAAGCAATTAAAAATAAAATTTAATGAAGTGGGTGCGGCTGAATTTGATTAAAACAATCGAGCATTTTTGTTACCTTTTCATTTTCACCCAATTCTCTTTGTCATCCCCAGCTATAAAAATGAGTGCGCCCATGATGATAAAAAAAAAACCAACAACTTTTCCAACACAATTAAAAATGTGTGTGAATTTAAAGAGTTGATTTTCTTGGGCGCGCAATGACATAGAAAAACGAGTGACAACAAACACACAGCCACCACATGTAAATGAAATGTGTTGTTATTTTTTTTGTTGTCGAATCGAGGAAAGAGAGAAAAAAGCGCGCACGGCATTTGAGTAAATAATGAATAAAACAGCGGCGCGGCTCAATTGTTCATTTCATCATTTTGCTTAATTATAACATTTTTTTGCTGTTTTTGTTGTTGTTATTATGATTATATGCCAGAGATGAGAGCAAATAGACGGAGACTCGAAAGGCATGGATGAAAATCCGTCGTTTTTTTATGTGATGGTATTTTTGCCATCATCGCATTGCCGTGTATACTATGTGCACATATATCGAATAGTGGATGATGAGCGCATGTCAGCGGATAATCAATATGGAAACATAAAACGTTGAAATGCCGATGCTTGGTGAGTTTTTTGTTTCGTGCGAAATACTTTACTCACACATTTTGTATGCATCATAATAAATTGAAACTTCATCGTTGCTAATTCATTACGAATACGGATTTGTTTATCTCTCGATTCGATTTTTTAATTTACAAATTGGTCAGGTTTTGTTCTCACCTTTAGCGTCGCAACCATGTGCTTCAATAAACAGTTACATTTTTTCGATGAATTTGCACATTCGACGCTTTTGTTTTTAATTTTAAAAAATGTGTTATTTTGTTTAAAAAAAAATATGTTCACTTGCTCGTTACAAGTGTAAATATTAATTAAGCAAAAGTTATTACATTTTAATGAGCAACAAAATCGATCAGGTATCACGATGCGATTGTGTGTCTCTTCTTATTTAAATAGATTTCTCACAATGTTGAATCTCATTTGCATTCGGCTCATGGCGCGACATCGATCATTCAATTAAGTGAAAGAGAGAAAAAAAATGACGAGGACGCAAAGTTCGAATAATTTTTTTCTTTTTCAAAAAACGTTGTCAATATTGTCTCAATGAATAAAGAAAATACTTCGAATTTAAAATATTCGATGCTGTTTTCTCGTTTATTTATTATATTAATTTTCTTTAAATCGAGACAGTAATTTTCGTGCAAATTGTGCATATTAATCAAATTGTCTTTCTCTCAGTGAGAGAGAGAGAAAAAAAGAGCGATAATTTCTTTTGCTGCGTAATGAAGCGATTGAGACACGCGTCACAATGATGTGGTTTCGAATTGATACACTAAAACGCAAAAAAGTTCGAAACCTTGCTTGTTTTTTTTTCTCTATATTTCACAACGAGCGATTATTTTGCATATGAATTGCATGTTCCAGTTCTTTGATGGTGAAATATCTTTTTTATTTACTTTGGCATAAGTTTATGCCTCAAATGAAGTGAAAAGAAACTGTCCCCTTTCGCAGACAGTGTTGAACAGATGTTGGCTCGTTCAATCATCCGGTGAAGGTACCGAAAAAGTGTTCCAGAAGGGAAATTTGGACGAAAAAAACAAAACAAGTTTCACTTTTTCTTTTCATATTAATAGCATATTCATAAATCAATCAGAATCCAGAGAACTATCAATGTCAAAACCGAATTATTCATTGGCTTGCACCGAACCGTAAAATTATACACAGGAATCTATGCGAATTATGAATATAAAAAAAGCTTAATAACACAACACCTTTTCGGAAAGGCTTTCTTTGTTATAAGACGTCGGTTGGTCAAACGCAGAGCCTGAAT